AAGGATTACCCTCCAGCGACAATTTTCATTCTAATCAACATTTTTTAGTATCCCAGATTTCCTTCTTTTGTAAGAAGTTGTTTAATGCTGATTGCACAGTATTTGTGGCCTTCCATGAATTCAAACAGTCTTGAGGGAAAACCCACAAGCCCTCACATTTTGTGGAAGAGTAAACTACACATTTGTAGTGACAGTGAAGCTTCCATTCTATCTCCCCCTGAAAGACTGATTTGGAAAGCTTTCTTTCTTCCTCCTTTCTTCCAAAATACAGTGCATCGAAGAGTCCAAGCTGTCCACTAGGAAATAATTCTGTTTGATTTCTTTCCACTTTATCATTCTTTTAGGTGTGAGATTTTGTTCTATAAATGTAAACGGATATATAGGGTCCTAAGAGCTCTAGTATTGAGTCAGGGTGACACCAACCATTAGCCATTACCTAGAAATTTTTATACTTGGTTCTAAGCATTATTTCAAATACTCTGAATATTCTGAAATTCAACTGCCTTGGAAAAACAATAATGAGCAACATATTTGTTTTATATTTATATTAATTTATTGGTGTAAAATATACTATCAGTTTTATTTATGCATTCTAAAAAAGCAATTTAACTTTAATCTGTTTCATTTGATCAGTAGCTTTCCAGATATTATTTTAGATAGACAAGATTTTTAAAAATATTTTAACTTACTTTTTACTCATGATGCTCACCTAATATAGGATCTACTTTATGCTTTAACATCAATATTGCAATCTTTGAGTTATGGATCTGAGGGATTACATTGATTTTTAGTTTAATCTAGCATCGTTATCCACCTAAAGCAGATCTCCTGTGTTGAAGATCATTCAGAATAGGAATCGTTTCTAAATATTTTGATTTGATATTCATTTTATGAATTTTTTTGGTGCACGTATCACCACTAAAATGTTTGAATATCTACTTTGGGTTATTTTTCAATAATCCTGATTTATTTATTTATTCAGTACTATGCACTAAGCTCTTAGGATATAATGATAAGATCGAAACTTAAAAAATAAATATGGTGCCTAACTCTTAATATATATTAATATACATATATTCAGTAGTTTATTTCACCTGGATTGCATGTTAACTTTTTAGACCTTCTAAAATTTCTACAGAGAATACAGTGGATTGGGAACACTTTCGAAGTTCTTTAGATTTTCAGTTTCTTTTTAGAACATTACATATTACTATGTAGTAAATTACTATAAAATGCAAAAAAATGCAAGTGAAGCTGAAGACAAGTTTTAATTTTTGATTAGATTATTAGGTAGAAATAATCTCTAACAGTTTTTAAATGAATAGTGAAATAAAGTTCACAGAAAAATATCTAGTCTCTTCATTTATATTTTAGATATAATTTAAAATTTTTTCTTAACTATCTCCTTTCTCTTTCTCTTTCTTTGGTGTACCCTGTTTTCCTAGATTTTATAGATTTTATCTTGTTGTTCTGTCCTCTGTAATCTATCAATACAGGAATTCTCCCTTCGGACATGTCTGTGGGTGGTCCTGAGAGCTGGTCCCCAGTCCCCTGATCAGTAATTCCGTTTTAAGTTTTATTTGTATTGAAAAAAAAAATGAGTAGAAAGCTGTATATACTCCCATTTGAGGTCTTCAGGGGAAAAACTACAAATTTAGTCTAGTTGCCAGCATAGCACTGCGGGACCTGGGGCCGGCGGGGCAGGGGCGGGGCGAGGGGGGGCGTCTGCTGGAAATAAAAGAAAATATAGCCCCTTGGGACCTTGCAACGAGTGTGGCCACTGTACAACCTGTCTTATTGCTTAGTTTCACTTTCCATTGAAAAGTACAAACAAGAGTGCTTCCTATTTGATTTTTTTTTTCCCAGTGGAAAATATTAGACACTAGCTAAAGTAGGCCAAAGAGAATAAAAAGCCTGAATAGAAAAGATCGGTGGAGGAAGTGAGTCAGTAAGGGAAATTTGATAGAAAAGAGGAGCAAGAAAATTTCCAAAATGATAAGAGAACATAAAGATACCTTGGACTCCAGGCAAAAGAGAGAGTGATTTTTTTTGCTAAGCCCACTGCTTCCTCCCTCCCATGTTTCTGGCCTACATTGCCTCTCATCCTGACTATTGCAATTGCCTTCCTGCCTCCACAGTCCTCTCTTGCCATCCTTTCAACACATTGCTCACCTGTACACAAGGCTACCCACTAACTCCTGAGTAAAGCACCAATTCCTTAGCTTACTAACGCAGTGCTAGCCACGACCTAGATCTGTTTGTCTGACCTTATCCCTCACTCCTTTTTTCATGCTCCCTTTTCTCCAACCAGTCGAGGCTATTAACTTTGCCCCAAGCATCTATCTCTTCTGACTTGCAGGTCCCAGATTGTCCCTTTGGCCCAGAAATGAATGGGTCATCTTTGCTAGTTGAAATCCTACTCAATTGCTTCAAGAAGCTCTTCTAATCACATCAGCCTAGAACAAACCCTCCCTTCGCTACACTCCTTTATCATTTTGTACCTCTTCTAATGCCTCTTGCTGTTTACACATGCCTTATTTTCCCTATAAGATCTTAAATTCCTTGAGCTCTTCCTTCTATTTCCTGCATAGGGACTAGCATATCACCTTCCTTATAGTACCTGAGTAATAAAAATGTATTGGATGAATGATAGAAAGAAATCTCATTAGGATCAAGTAGTCTAACACAAATTTCAATTTTTTATGCCTGATTTTATACTTCTTTTGGCATAGAAATAAAAGTAAATGTATGAGTATTTATTATGAAATGGAGACTTTTCAGAACCTGTAGCGGTGACATTGTCAGTCAGTCCCCCAACAAGAACAGAACTTCCCACCTTCACTTGATGTCAGTGAGTATCTGAGCACTGCTACCTATTACCCAAATCAGTTTCACCATAGCACAGAGGACTAAAGTAAGCTGAGCTCCTGAATTCATTTTACATTCCTCCCTTAGAAATGTAATTCCTTTCCTAATAAATTATATACATCTAATTGCCAGTGATATTTAGATGCTTTTTAACAGTAGACCAAACATTACAAATATTCTGCCAGTGATGCATGTAGAGAAAAGAGTTATGTTCTTCTCCCACTTAGCTTTTCTGTGTGAACTAAATCTAAATATGTCAGAATTTTTGTAATTCAAAGAAAATATCTGTACCAACATTTTGAGAATAAATGCTGCCAAGTGAAACCTGACAGCATATTCCTTGGTGACATTCAGTCATTAAAAGTTGTGTACACAGAGTGAGCAGCTACCTAAAACTGAGCTCATATGCAAATGTGAACATTCTTCAATTAAAATCACATTATGTAGATTAAAATTTTCTTTAGATGCTATGGCATTTTCTGGAAAATATAGCTGAGCCTGACTTTATGTACCTTGCCTTATTATTTTTTTGTCATTTCCAGCTACTAGTCTCTCCAAAGAAAACGGCTTTCTTGTTCCTTTTAGTTCTGCATGTGCCCTGAGCTTTATTCCCCATTGCTGCTACAAAAAAAAAACTGAAGTGGTTCCAAACACCACTATTTTTCTTTTTTTCGGTAACTAAGAGTATATATAAGACCAAATTTTCCCTGAAGGGATTTGCCCATTGCTGCTACTTGTGTTGTGTTGTGTTGTATTGTGTTGTGTTGTGTTTTCAACTGTTAGCCTTCTTTTTGAGAAGTCATCTGTATGGTAGCCTTTTGATTTCTCAGGATCAGTGGTGGTTGTTTGGGGGAAGAACTGGAGTGGGGCCATATTAAAAGTAGGGAGATGAGTTAGGAGATTTTAAAAAATGTTTTATTAAGCTATATAGATACATAAAAGCCCTCCCTTAATTTTCCACCAAAAATTATACTGTGATGACCAATGACCTTGGGAAATTTTTAATTTAAGCACTTTATGAGGGCTCCTCCTAATGCTAAAACTAAAAAATATTTTTTTCATCAAAAGACATTTATTATTATGGCAAGTCCCATGTAAATCCTTAATGTGTTTATTTTAAGGACTGATTATGATAGCTTGCATAGAATGTTTTCAAAATTTTATTCTGTTAATTGGGAAAATGTTTTATGCTGTTAGCCTTTGGTTAGCTCTCTTTAAAAATCATATATGATATGAAGAAAAATATTGTTTGTGTGTCATATAAGTGTTTTTCCTAAAATGTCAGTTGTATTTCCTTACACTCAGTAATCATATAGAACATCGTTTGTTTTCTTTTAAATTGTATCCTGAAGAAATAGTAATTACTATGTTGTTTTGGAATACTTATTCGTTAAACTGATTTTCTTAGTTGCAGCTAACTGGTGGTCGGAATGGAAATAGAAAATATTGGATGACCATTAAAGTAATCTAAATATTACCAAAAGTGGCAATAATATATGAAGTTATGTGAGTGTGAATTAGGAGACTCACTTGATAAAAGTTACAGTAGATACACACTAGAAAAAATAGAACAGACATTTTTTCATACATTCAAAATGTTGAAAGTATTTCTAATTTGATATATGTGACCTCATAAGGAGAGTACATTAAATGGACTGCATCTTCAAATTGCTGTTTTATTCTCTATCAAAAGAAAAAATAAAGAATGGCAATTTAGGTTCAAAAATAATACCACAAACCAAAGTTAGCTTTAATTACTGTCTAGCCATAAGAAAGAATGAACTGTCAGCCAAGACCAAGGTTGTTTGATCTCAGATTTCAACCTTCTTGTCCTCTGGATGAATAAAATGATCTTTTCTCAAATGTTCAACAGGCTTTTTACCATTTGATACGACAGTTACTTCTAAGAAGGTTTAAAATGTGATCTGGAAAACCACATTGACTCTATGTGGCATATTTGCTATTCTTAGCCTGGTTGAATAAGCTGGAAGTGGATGAATAATGCAGGTTATAAAGAAAACAGATGCTAAATATTATAAATAGGAAGGTTTTCCAGCAAGGAGACTTTCATTTTAGGACTAGATTTTTGTTGGCACTTTTGGCATTATGACGATTATTGTTTTTCCCTCCAGCTGTTGCACATCTGTATTGAAGGTTGGGGCAATTGGCGTTGGTCAGAGCCCATCAGTGTGGACCATGCTGGGACTTTTATCAGAACTATTCAGTACAAGGGTCGAACTGCTTCACTCATCATCAAGGTTCAACAACTCAGTGGAGTGCAAAAACAGGTAAGTCCTTTTGTGTTTATGATCCAGACGGCTCCTAATTACTTAATGTGATTAATGGAAGGGAAACTTAAAGAAATTAAAATAATCAATAATAAAAAAGAATCACAGTGGTCTGCCTAGTTATACCTACTACAGCCATGCACGTGAGCACTTAATAAGCGCTTGTTGATGATCCTGATGATGATGGTGATGGCTTCAGACCCTTTGTCCCACATCTTTTACAAGAGCTGCTAACGAGCAGTAAAATTTACTAATTTTAGTTTCACCTCTTCTCCCTGTCACCACCTACCTTCTGGTGGAGGTGCTAATGAGCTGTGAAATGGCCAAAAGGCCTTTACTGAGAAGAAAAAGAAGCAAAGGGTGCTGGGGACTCTGGATAGTCCAATAGTGGATAACCAGGAGTTGGTTCTTCTACACAGAAGAATAATCTGCAATAAAGTGTTGTGATGCTCTCCATGACCGAGTGGGCCTGGGTCTCCAGCAAGCTTCCTTTCTCTAGGAGTTAATATTAACTGCAGTAAAAATTCACCGCAGTCTAACTCTTGGCATATAAAACCTCAGCTCTCAGCACATATTTTTACGTATTTTATAAAACTTCCTTTTGGCTGTTTTTGAAGTTCTAAGACTGCAAAGGGAAAAAAAAGTATCTGACACTTTTTTTGTGTTCTTAAGATGTGAAAATGTGGTTTTCAAAAGATGTTTTTCAAGCGCGGAGCATATGACAAAGTAGAAAGAAAAAAGGAAGTATTAAAATCTGAAAACTGGCTTCACTGCACACATAATAACTGGATTTGTCATAAGAGTTTTAACATATACATCTGCATCTGAATGGTAACAGTCTCTCCAGAGCTCATGTGAACTGAGGACATGGTAGAAACAGCACTCAGTCCCTGGAAGAGGGAAGTGGTTTCTGTATCAGACAGCAGGGGCTACTCACTGCCCTATGCCGGGGGCAGGCAGGAAGCAGTTGGTGAGGTGGACAGTAGAACCTGTGCCATATACATTCTTGGTCCACATCTGATTGGGCAATTGGATTTCATGTTCTCGTCATTGTGAGCAACAGAGGTGAAACAAGAGTGATAGCAGAGGAGTCTCAGAACAGAAGCATGGAAGAGCCTTCCAGTCAGCTGACCTGAGTGTTCGTGGATTGCCTACAGTTGAACTGGGTAAAATGAAAGACACTTAGTATGTGAAACAATATTTGCTCTTATTGCAAATTTATATAAACCCAACAATGTAATACAACTAATGGTAAGTGTGAAGAGAATTTAGAAGTTTCACTAAGAAGATGTGACTTGAACTGAGCTTTGGAAAACGTGTAGAATTTGGATTAAGAGAGGACATTCAGGTAAGTAGTATGGCAGAAACAAAAAGATAAATATGAGTCAGAGATTCAGGATCTCACTCAAAGATTCATGAGGGAACCAGCCTAACTAGTGTGAGCTTTAAGCTGGAAAGTCATAAACACAAGTGTCACTGACTCCTTCCTATCTGCCCTCAGAACTCTCTTACATGGATATGCTCTCAACAAATAATGGCCTAATTAAAACACACTGGTTTTCTGATTCTGTCACTCAGTCTTTCAAGAGTGCCTTATCCGCCTTCTCATTCACCAGTGTGCCTGAGAAATGGTCATTCAGCATCTGTTTAAATACTCCAGATGATGAGAGCCTCATTCCCTCACACAGCAGCCCTTTCCATTGTGGGTTACTTCCAGCTATTCATGAAGTTCTTTCCTAATTTTGAGCCAAAATCTGTCACCATTCAGCCAGTTTTTACTATTCCTCAGATTTTGTGAGGTGCACACAACAATCACACAACACCTCGTTTCTGCCATACTACTTACCTGAATGTCCTCTCTTAATCCAAATTCTACACGTTTTCCAAACCACAGGTTACCTCTCCCTCTGTGTTACAGCCCTTCAAAACATGAGAGAAGCTAGAATGTCTTCCCTTAGTTTCCTTCTCTCTAGGCTAGTGGTTCTCAAACTTAAGAGTATATCAGAATCTCTGGATGGTTTGTTAAAATGTAGATTTCTGGGTCCCATCCCCACAGTACCAGATTCAGTAGGTCTTGGATGTGATGTGATCATTTGTATCTCTAACAAGTTCTCAGGTCATGCTGATGCTGGTCCAGGGGCCACACTTTGACAACTATAGCTCTCATCTAACCTTTCCCAGTTCGTTCAACTCTGTTGCATGTGGTTGCTAGAAAATTTACAGTTAGTGGAATGGCAGGGCCCGCCCATGAAGAAACGATTTTCATGTATATCCTGATGGTTAAGATCATAGGCAGCTGGCTGTAGTGTCCTTAGTAGTTGTATGATCTTCAGCAAGTTGTTTAGCATCTGTGACTCACTTTCCTCATCTGTAATACGGGGATAGTAATGGTGTCTTCCTCATAAAGTTAATGTGCGAATTAAATGAGTTTGTATGTGTAAAGTGCTTACAACACGCTTGGCCCACTATCGTAACCCAATAAACTTTAGTTACAATGAAGACATATTTCTAGGCATGAGTAACACCAGTTGGACTTGTTTTGTGTTACCAAATAGCACTTCATTCTTGCATGGATATTAAATGTTTTCAAGGACTGATATTAAATTTCAGGGATGAACTAATATTTACAATATTCCTAAGCAGATATTGCACATTGCAATAGTACACCATAAGTCAAAAAAAATACATCTTTTAAAAATTCTCACAACATATTACCTATCTTTTCTTTCTGATTGTAAAGAATTTCCAGAAGGACTAGTATTTATTGCTGTGTGATCTTCGGCAAATTTCTTAACCTTTCCATGTTTTATATACCTTTTGTAAAAGAAAGCACCCAACAAATATTAATTCACTGTTATTTTTATGTTACTATTAGAAAAATATCTCTGAAAACACAGAAAATCTAATTAAGGAAAATTGAAATTACCCATAATTCTACCACCCAAAGATAAATACTATTATTACTTTGGTGTATTTTCTCTATTCTTTATTCTATGCAAAAATTTTTTAACTAACTTGAGGTCTGATTTTAATAATGGTTTTTCAACTTGGTTTTTTTTTTTTTCACTTAACATTATATAATACTCATCTCCTCATGTTATCTAAAATTCCTAAAATTTTCTTTTAATGGTTGCATAATCATGTACCATATGGTATATTGAAACACTTAGACATTCTTTTGTTGATGGATTTTTAGATATTTCCAATTTGTCACTATAATAAATTCTTAGTAAATATCTTTGTGCATAAATAGACATCCAAATTTCTGAGTCTGTCCCCAATATAATTTGCTATAACATTTAATTACCCGAGCAAAGGGTATGAATGTTTTTGAAATACTTGATTAATATTCCCAAACTAAAAAGATGTATTTTATTTGTTTAACCAAAATTCATTGTTTTGTCTCACCAGATTCTTATTAGGGCTACACTAATCTTTTAAATAACTAGATATATATTTGCCCGAAAACTTCTGCTTATTTTCTGAGTTTTTCAAAACATAAGCATTTTTTTTTAAATCTTAAAGTAAAGAGGGGTTCAAATCAATACTAACAAAACTTCCTATACATTGCAGGTTTAAGGAATTCTTTTAATCATCTTCTATGTTAATGTCAAATATACAGATTTTGAGACATCTGGTGCCAAATCACATTTCAGGATTTTTCCAAATGTAGTTTGTACTGTCGATTGTTGATAGTCCTTTACTATAGGGACTGCCTCTCACATTTTTTTCTTTTTCTACCCTTCTTATAATAAATACCCTTTTAAAAAGTTGGGGGGAGGGCGGCAGATAAAATCTAGCTAAGTAGGAAAGGAGTATTTGGAGAGCAATCATGGAAGCATAAGCAGTCCTCACGTTGCATTTATCTTTTTAAAATGAACTGTCATTGTCTCCCATAGGAACTGGGAAAGTCCATTTTACATTCCCACTGTCATGAAAGGCACATACACACTTAATTTATATTTTGAGTATTAGCATTTCTTGTAATCAAATGAGTTTGAATTCTATGTCAGGGCCACTTAAAAAAAACTTAGCTACCGAGTAGTGGAAAGTGGAACTTCTACAGAAACAGCAACTTATAGAACCAAGAATGAAGCAAATGGAAAATGGTTCTTACTGAGCATGGGCAATATTGAAAGGTTCAGCCGACCACAATGCC